AGACACAACCAACTTTTCGATCTAAAACTTTTATGTTAGCTTTCTGGAAGTCAAAGAACCCATGGAAGGTGAATAATTTAACTTGCGTGTATTTTTTGGAAAGATCCAACAGGATCAGTAGAGTTAAATGTCCTTCAAAATGTCCTTCTCGATCTTTAAACCTGCCCTGAAAATAATATGTTCCATGAGCAGAAATTTATGGAAGGCTTTGTTTCGAAGTCTTTAGATATTCTTCAGTTCTTCATTGGAAGGCTGAAAATAATATTTCCCATCTTCTTTGTGATTCGTGGCCGAAAGGGGGAAGCGGAAGTCTCTTTTGGTGTGATGTTGCAGATTTGGCAGGTCTTTCTTCGGACTGTTGGTGTTTGCAAGGCGATTTCAACGTGGTCAGATGCATTGCAGAGAAATCTAGTGGTAACAGAATCACAAAAATCATGAGATCTTTCAACTCCCTAATTGAAGATATGAGGCTCCTTGATGTTCAATTGAACAATGGCATATATACTTGGTCCAACCTTAGAGAGCAACCCACTTCCCGTCGGTTGGATCACCTTCGGGTCTCTCGAGGTTGGTTCAATACTTTCAAAGACGCTTCTCTTCACGTGCTTTCTAGAAGTGCTAAGATCACTTCCCCCTACAATTCATCTCCGGCAGTCAGAAATAGGGGTCGTCCCCCTTTAGATTGGAAAGTATACGGCTGTCCCACCCAATTTCATGGAAAATGTGGAGAGTAGGTCTAGCTACTCTTTCATGGAGAGGTTGCAAGACCTGAAGCATCACTTGAAGGAGTGGAATAGAACTACTTCCGGTTTCCTTGAAGGGGAGAAAGCTTCTTTGCTGCACAAAATTGATCTCATTGATAAGGAAGAAGAGCTGGGCACATTGACTGCTGCCATGGCAAATGATAGACTTTGGCTGAGAGCTTCTTTGTTAGAGGTGAAAGATCAGATACGGTGGTGGTGGGCCCAAAATTGCAAGCTGCAATGGGTCAAAGAGGGGACGAAAATACAATCTTCTTTGGAATTATGCAGCTAGAGCCCTCCTTTGGAATATTTGGGTGGAAAGAAACCATAGAATTTTTTAAGATAAGTCTTCCTCTTTTTGATAATTTTTGCAATACTGTTCAGTTACACACTTCTTGATGTGCCTATGTGGTGCCATAGGCATAGAAAATTCTATTGGAATTATAGCTTCTCAATGATTATGCAAGATTGGAGAGCTATTCTTCAGTAGTTTTGTTGGGAGGAGGAACTGTTCCTCCTACCCTTAAGCTGTTTTTGTTCATTATCCAAAAAAAGAGAATGAACAAGAGATTCTGGGTTTTAAACTCTTTGTACAAAGAAAAGGTTGGACGATTTTGAAGGTATGGATTGGTCTCTATGGATCAACAGGATACCTCTGTTATGGAGGCCCCTTTAAGCGAGGAGGAAGTGCACAATGCTATAAAAAATTTGGCAGATCTAAAGTCTCAGGGTCCTAACAGGATGTCCAATGAATTTTTCAAAAAATCAGCAAACATCTTGAAATATGCCTTAATCAAGGTGTTCCAAGAATTTTTTCCGAAATGAAATTATCAACCGAAGCACAATCGAGATATGCTTGTGCCTTATTCCCAAGAAGCAGCTGAAGGCTAGTAAGGTTAGTGATTTCCGCTCGATTAGCTTGGTCACCTCCCTTTACAAGATTACTGCTAAAGTCCTTGTGGAGAGACTTCGCAAATCCGTTGAATTGCAGTGACTCCCATGCCGCTTTTGTGGAAGGAAGGAATATTCTAGATGCAATTTTGATAGCTTCCGAGGCAGTTAGGGAGTGGAACGCGAAGAAGAAGAAAGGATTTCTCTTGAAGCTAGACTACGAGAAGGCTTACAACGTGGTAGACTGGAGCTTGTTAGCAGTTGTGCTAGAAAAGAAAGGTTTTGGGGTGAAATGGCATCGATGGATCCAAGGTTGTACAGTTTCAGCAGATTTCTCCATTTTCATTAATGGTAGACCAAAAGGGAAATTTTCTGCTCAAAGAGGCTTGAAACAGGGTTGTCCTCTCTCCTCTTTCCTCTTTACGTGATGCTTTCAGCCGTCCTATTCACATTTGTCATGAGAAAAAGATCTTGAAAGTCTTCCTCATTGGGTCAGAAAATGGCCTTTGAAGTACCTTTAATACGTCAGTCGCCAACACGATTATCTTTAGGGGGAAGATAAGGAAGACCTCATGGATTGGTGGGGAGTTATCTCTCTGTTTGTTTATACTGCAGGCTTCTCTTTGAATTTGGCTGACTTCTTTATGGGTTTAAACATCGATGATTCTGTTTTGCTTGAGTGCAAATTTAATTGGAGTCTCCCTTTTTGTTATCTAGGTTTTCCTCCTGGAGGAAATGCCAAGTCGAAAGGCTTTTGGGAGTTGATGGTGGACAAGTTCAGTGGCAAGCTTGCTAAATGGAAAAACCTCACTCTCCAAGGGAGGTCGATTGACTTCTCTTCCTCTTACCCATAGTGGTCTTACCATTGGTTCTTTCAGACAACGGACAATGCACTGTGCCCTCCTTAAATGGCTTTGGAGACTTACTCAAGAAGACAATGCACTGTGCCCATGGATGGCTGACAAGGTTGCAAAAAGGTGCTATCAAAGGTCAGCCTTGATTTAAAATAGCAAAGAACACAAATCTCTTCCTCAACTTTATGTCCTTTAAGGCAAATGATGGCCACAAGATTCGTTTTTGGAAAGACGTTTGGGACTGAGACCACCCTTTGGAAGTAGCTTTCCCGGATCTTTTTCTACTTTCAAATAGGAAAGAAGACACAATTGCTGGCTGCTGGAACGAAGAGCATCGGGGTTGGGATTTGGGTTTCAGGAGTAGTCTTTTTGACCGAGAATTTGATAGCTGGTTGGGGCTGATTTCTCGATTAGACACTACGCATTTGAGGGAACCTTCGAATAGGCTGATTTGGAGTACTGAAGGGTTCTTTTTTTACCAAGTCTACTTTCTTCAGACTGCTAAAACCGTGACAAGTCATTTAAACCTCTCTCCTCTCTTCCAATTGGAAATCAGTTTCCCAAAAAGATTAAGATCTTCCTTTGTTCAGTGGCTCATAGAGGGATCAACACCAATGACCCCCTTCAGAGGAAATGCAAGACCTGGTCCCTCTCCCCCTCCATTTGCCAGCTCTGCAACAATGAAACAAAATCCCTCGACCACATCTTTCTGCACTGCCCCACCACTCAATCAAAGCTGTTGAGCGAATGTTTTTGGCATCTTCAACAAAAAAAACCTTTGTTTACTTAAGACAGTGGATGACTAGTTAACTCAATCCTTGGAGGGAAGTCACTTCAAAAATAGGAAAAAAAACCTATGGAATTTTGCAACTGCAGCGGTTTTAAAGAATCTTTGGCTTGAAAGGAGCCATTGAATTTTTTAGAACACTTCTTTTGAGTTGCCTATTTTATGGACAACTTACTACTTCGAGGTGGTGCTATACGTATAGTAAATTCTTTTGCAACTACTACCTCTCTTCGATCCTTCAAAATTGAAAGGCCCTCTTGTTTTAGTTTCTTTAGGAAGGGCTTTCCTCAGTCCCTTGCCCTTGGGTTGTTCTTTTTTGTGTGATTTATACATCTCTTAAGTTTCCCATTGGAAAAATAAAAATAGGGTTCCATAGATGAATGTAGTCCAATCAATAGTGTAGTAGTATTTGGATAGAGAGAAATTGGCACTTATTTGAAGGCAAAAGGCTCTTTGGGGGAAATATTTATTCTTAAACTAAATGTGGGTTCTTGGTTTGCTATGTCAAAACGATTATGCAAGTTACTTTTTTTATACTGATTCTTGTTGGAAAGCTTGTTTTAGAGTTATGTTTAAGATTGTGTCATTCCTATCTTATTATTTGTATTTTTCGCATTGGGGATTTAGTTTCATTCATAAATGGAGTTATAGCGTTTGTAACTTGTTTTAATGAAATATTAATGAAAACTTGTGTTTTGTAAAATTAAATTTGTAACTCCTTTTGACAATTTTTTGTAGCAATGTACAACATACTGCTTCTTGGTGGTGTATTAATTACGGAAAATTCTTTTGTAATTACAACCTTTCCTCGTTCATGAGCAGTTAGAAAGCGTTTCTCTAGTTTCAGTTGGGTGAGGTACCCTCTACCCCAGCCCCTAGCTTGTTTCCCCTTTTTTGTTGTTATTAATGAAAGTCAATTATCCAAAAAAAAATATTTAAAAGTCCATTAGGAAGGTGGCCAGTAAACATGAGTCAGAAAAGAAGTCTACAAGAATACAGAGATCAAGGTTCAAAGTAAAAAGATGGTCACAAAACACCTTGGTTAAAAACTTCAACGCAAAGAAATAGCAAAGGCAATACCTGTGAAGTGTGTAAAGGTTGCGAACGGTTCTATCTGCTTCAGGCGATAAATACTTGCCATTCTCCCTATCAAGGTCTAGTTGAAGAGGAAACTCGTAGCGGTCATTTATCTGCAAGCCAAAATCACTTTAATATATAGTTCGATTCAAAACAGCTAATTGGAAATTTGGATTCAAGAGGTTAAAGTTTATATATATATAATACTAATGAGAGATAGGAAAAGAAAATAAATGAAGGAAAAAAGAAAAAAGACACTCGAGTGTATAATGCAGATTCAACGAAAACACATCTTGTCTGTCAAGACAAATCACCTTTTCCATTTATCAATTTTTTGGAATGGCCTAGTTGGTTGGGCCCATAAATCCAAAAGTTTGGAACGAAAGGTTCCTGCACATATATAAAGTTTAAACCAAAGCTCTGAACTTTACGTACCGACCAACTTTGCTGCAATGTCGCCGCCAACCATCGCCAACCAACTACACTGCCAAGGTTTGGGTTTTTTATTGCAATATATATGCACATATATTTTTTTTAGTACAGCATGTATGGCGGGAGATCGAACTCACACCTTCTTGGTTGGAGATATATGTCAATTTCAGCTGAATTATGCTCGCTTTGGCAATATATATACACATATTATCTAAAATCATTTTTAAAAAAACATGTCCCTGACGTGTCCATTCCTATATTTTTAGAAATTGGCGCGTTGCTGTGTCCATGTTGTGTTCTGGCCGTGTACGATGTCCTGTCCTTGCTTCTTAGGAAGTATGTTGTAAACCATTTCTAAAAGAATCAAAAGTTGAAGAACTCTTGAAGCACACTTCCATAACGACTTCACTCTGCCTTTTAAAGACCAGCCATTTAACACTTCAAGCATCAAATCTCCAATCGAATTATGCAAGTGGCGGGGGATATCAAAATAATTTAGCAAAAACCCAGCCTTTGGCAGTAAACTCAATGAATGAAGATGTGGTCTAGGCTTACTTCATCTCATTCACAAAGACTACAAATGGAAGGTGAGAGGGACAACCCCAAAACTTCTTTTGCTTCATGTGTGTTAAGACTCCACAAAAAGACTTTCATCTTTTTTTGTCTTGTATGGGACACCGGACATTGAACTTCCAAATTGCACTAATTTGAGGGCAAGACAACTTCTGTGAAGTGGAAGGTTGAATTTGTGGTAAAAGTTCCTGAAGCATTCAAAGACGAAGCAACTCTATCTTCACTGACTCCGAAGCAAACCGAGTCAATTCTTTCAATCCCAATTAGCTCTGTCTTCACAAATTCCCAAGCAAACCAAGTCAATTCTTTCAGTCAGTCCCAACTAATATGTCTGCCTTTTCTAATACACTTTGTACTCCCACAGCATACTTTTATCTTTAACGCCTGCATAATAAATGCTTTGAGGTGGATAAAGATATTTACCATTAGGCAACTCTCGTGTATCCTTCATTTATCCACTAGGTTTGGGTCAGGACCATTGGGTCCTATGAAGAATAGCTCTGCCACCTCCGACGAGAAGATTTCGTGAACTCCTGCTATTTTTCTAATCAACAAATTTGCATCCTGACAAGAGCATGTTTGAGCTACGAAAATCTGATCTTTGTCCATTAATCTCACCTCAACAGGAATAAAGTCGCGGTAATTTCCTTCAACCCTAATAGCAACCTCCACATAGACAATCAAACTCAAATTATTTTCGGGCGTAGTCCAAAAAGCCTCCAAAAGCATTACCTATTGGTTTAAATTAATGTTGCCAAGCTCCATAAATGCATTGGAATATTTTTTAATCTCACCCACTCTCCATGATAAGGGACCACACTAATCCTTCCATGTTATGTGCGTCCCAAAATTCCCATTTAATTATAAAGGGGCCAAAAGTCACCCAGTCCCTATTTGAGGCAAATAGTCTCGCCAAATCTTGGAGTTGCACTTTAACAGTCTTTACAAGCATGAACAAGTTGATTATGAAGTCTTCTTTTAGTTGTTCTTGAAGAACCTAGAGGATCCTTCCCAATCATCATGGAAATCTCTTCTTGTTACCACTAATGTCTTTGGCCAGTTTGGACATCTAACTTCACTACCTATTGTGCCTTCTGCAGATGAATGTTAGTAGGGCCTTGAGTGTGGGCATTATTGGCTTCCCTTTTCCTAACGACATTTTTTTTGAATAAGAAACAAACTTTTCATTGATAATATGAAAAGGAAGAAAAAAGTTCAAGGATACAAGCTCCTAAAGGAAGCGAAAAAGGAAAAAGAAAAAAAAACAAACAGCACATAGAAAACAAAAACCCATAAAAATATGAGAACTGAAGCCCAAGAATAGGAGCTGAACACTGATTACAAGAAAGCTCGCCAAAACAAAGGACAGACGGCTGAGGAGGAATCCAAAACCATCACTTAGCATAGGATAATCTGTTTCTTCTTCCTGGATCCTTTTGGATGGTGTCATCAACCCATCGAGGACACTTTATTTCTTATGGAAGTTGGGGCCTTGCATCTTCTGGATCATGATAATTCAAGTCTTTCTTTGAAAGATGTATAAGAAGGTAGCTGAAGGAAAAATCGGATGTCTCTGGGAGCAATTTGAGGTTTATAGGCACCTCAAGTCTCTTGGTTTCATTGTTGGAAAGCCTAAAGTTCCTTGATCTGTGAAGGTGTTAGTAATGGCAGTGACATTTCTCCTCGAAGTTCTATTGAGAACAAAGGAGCATGGGATTTGGAATCAGGAGATGAGAGTTGATCTCTGAACTATTAAGTTCCATTCAGCTCATTTTATATGTTTTTCTTCCACACAGCAAGTTTAGAAAGTCTTCTCCTGGTGACCCTTTTCTTTTTTTTT